GATCTCACCACTATGATCGAAGGCTTGGGGAGAAGTTGCCCTAGATTGCAAAACATACATATAGCTTCTGAACGGCTTTCACACTCTGCAGTGCTTGCTCTTACAGCTGCACAGTTGAGGTTTGTCATTTATTTTCAGCATCTTGATCTCTACTTTCTCAGTTAACATCGACAGTATGGCTTCATGTTGAAATTTCTCAATCTATAAATGGAAGCTGGCAATTTACAATGTTTTGAACTTTGCATCTGTATTTGTCAGTGTTCATATATCTGGTGGTGAATGAACCAAACATTTGACATGATTAAACAGGATCATTTCCAATTTTCTGCTGCACTCAAAGTGGCGTGCTTAAGAAAGGAAACGAAACAAATAACATGTCTACAAGATTAGTATGTATACACTCTCACAAGCCCACACACATGCACACAGGACACTCACAAATTACTAGCAACAATAAAATTATAATTCTGTTCCCGACTTTAATATTTATATCTGAAATCCCATGGTGATGCCTTTTATATAATCAGCGAGAATGTCATTTTTATTTACTTCTGTTTTTTCAGAGTTAATGGCTTTTTTTTTAAAGTACACTTAATTTAATAAGCTTCTTACTGAAGTTTTGTTTCAATGCAATGAAGGGGGCTTCGAATGCTTTCTCTTGTTCTTGGGTCTGAAATCACGGATGCATCTGTTGCTGCAATTTCCTCAAGCTATCCAAATCTTGAACTGCTTGATCTCAGTGGGTTTGTACCTGATTCTTACTGTAATCAAGTTCTTAGTAACTCTATGGAAATCAACACTGTACCCAGAGATAATAGACAATTTAATATAACATTTTATTTCAGGAATGCATTTTTTTTTTCTTAATTTCCTTGTTTATCTCTTTTGGAAAGTGTGTATAATGGATAAAATTTTGTCGCAGATCTAGTGTTAGTGACAGTGGCATTAGTATGATTTGCAATGTGTTCCCTGATACCCTGACAAGACTCCTTCTTGCTGTTTGCCCCAACGTGACTTCAAGTAATTTTCTATTGCATATTCAATAACTTGACAACTTTTATGCTAGCTTGAGTTTCTGCTTCCTAATCTGCTGCTATTTAACTTAGGTGGTATTCAGTTTGCGACATTTCAGTTGCCGCTCCTTGAAATCATGGACTGTGGAATGACCATACGTGATCCTAATTTGCAAAATCCAGCTGCTGACGAAAACAACTGCAAATTACAGAAAACATCTGTCTCTAATGTACACCTTATAAACCAGAAACTAATTATCAAACACAGCCGTTTAAGGAAACTCAGTTTCTGGGGCTGCACAGGCTTAGACGTGAGTTTCATTAGACTAAGATCTCTATGCTATATAGTCTTTCCGATGCTTCTAATGTCTGTATCTTCTTTTCAATGAATATGCAGGCCCTGTATTTAAACTGCCCACGACTCATTGATCTGAATCTAAATTCTTGTACAAATTTGCATCCAGGTAGTCATTCATACTCCTGTTCTTCCGTAATCATCATGTGAAAATAAAATTCATCACATTAAGATTTCCTTTACGATTTGAAAATTTGATTATTCTCTTTTAACTTGACTTGTTCAGGAAGACTTTTGCTCCAGTGCCCCACTTTGGAAAATGTGCATGCATCGGAGTGTCAGGATATGTTAATAGGCGCCATACAGAGTCAGGTAACTAAGTAATTCTTCAGATGATTTCTTTCATATAGATTACTATATTTTAGGACGTGAGCTTCATGAGTTGATGTTGGGTCTGAAGAACTAGATGCTGCCCAAGAAAGTGCAGTTTGTGATTAAGCATATAAAATACTTTGGACTTAATTGGATTGAGATTCCATGCTTCTTGGGTTCTGATATTGGAAATACTTAATTTGTATTCAGGTTCGTGATGCTTCTTATGCTGCTATGGAAAACCATTCACCTTCTAAACGTCTACCTGATGGCTCCAAAAGGGTTCAGGTTCCACATTTACTCAGCGAGGAGGTAATGCGACATGTTTTACTGTACCACTTTTCTTGGTTTGTGTGGAAAAGTTTAGTGCATTGTGCATCAATAATACAAAAGGATCACATGTTTCTCAAATGAATTGGTGTTTGTTTCAATGGCCCGTCAAACAAGATTTTTTTTTTATTTAGAACTAGCATAGTCTTCTTAATTCCTGCTATGTTGTGCATTTTCACATGTAATGAATGATGTTATTATAAACTATTTTTGTTTATTTGCAGTCCCCTGAACCTGAAAAAAAACGGAGGAGGATCGATAGACAGCAGCATTGTAACGTGCTTCGGGGCTGATAATTGTATTCCCTTCAACTGATTCTCTAATGTATACATGTGCAATGCGTTATAATTTAAATTCTAGATTCATTATGCATCCTTAGTTATAAATTTTCATGTTAGCCGCTGAAGTTGGCCCTTAGAACTGTCTTACAAGACAAATGTTAATGTTTATCAAATTGTTGTATGATATTTGCATGACTGTCTCATAATTTAATAAAGTTAAACACTATTTTTTATGAAGTTTTCCCAGTCACTCAATGGGTGCTGTATGGGGGTGATATTATAGACTAGAAGTTTTAATATAATGTTCAACTTCTTCGATTAGTCATAAAATCTTTTTCTTAGGAGAATTATCTGTTTTTGAAATTAGTGAGTTTAGTTTTTGTTTGGTTTTTCACAAGATTAACCAAATCTTTAAAAATTGATTTTTTTGAATAGTAACCTTTTGAAAAAATTTCCAGAAGAATAGTTAGTAGAGATTATTTTATATTAGAATAATTTCTCCCTTAAAGAAATAATAACGTGGAATGAATATTACAGCGGGAAATTTAATTGTTACTATTATTATTTTGGTAGTTTGTTCTCGAATTGGGTATTCTTAAATTTCAGAATTTTATTCGAGGGGTATGGAGGGAGATTGCGAAATTCCCCATATGAATAACTCTTGAGGAGTTCCAACGAGTGCTTGATTTAACTTCTTACAAACTTTTATTCACAGTGAAAGGTTGATAATATTTTTCAAAAAGTTCACTGGAAAATGTGTTATTTAAGAAAATATCTGACATATAGTAAAATCCTTGGTAGATATGCAATAAAAATGTTACAATAGTTTTTTTAATTATTCTAATTTGCAATATCTCAGAATATATATATATATATATATATATATATATATATATATATATATATATATTTAACATTTAGTATTTATTAAAAAAATTAAAATTATAGAATTTTATATATATTTCTTTGTAAACTTTTAATATTTTTTATTTTTTCTTTAATAAATATATGTAATAATTATTAAAAATTAATAATATTTTTTATCATATTAATAAAAATTAAAAATAAAAGTAAAGCATATTAACTTTTTATGTTTACACAACGATAAAATCCCTTTTGAACTATTAAGATACATAATGTATTTTCTTTTGATGTTAAAGGAAGCTGCCCAACATGGTTAATGGGCTGAAATACTTTACAACCAACTGGGTTTAAGTTCAACTCCAACACATCAATTAAGAAAAGCATGTGAAATCCTATTGACAACCAAAACAAATTTAAAAAATACAATAAAAAATATTAAAGAAACTTAAAATAAGTATAAATTAATTTTAGACTTAATTTTTATATTTTAATAATAGAACTAATTTGATATTTTGTTAAATTAACATCAAAATGGTTTGATATTATTTTGATTAACACGTTAGTTTTAATAAGTGACACCTTTCAAATAAAACTAATATTTAAAGATAAAATTGATTCTTTAAAAAATATTAAGATTGATTTGAATAAAGGAAATATAAAAACTCAAATAAATTATAAATTTAAATATAATAAACAAATTATTAATTAAGTTTAATTTTAATTTTAGTCTAAAAGTTTTCACAAAAAATAATTTTCTTGTGAGCCTTCCATAAAAAAGTTTAGTATAGTGCTTAGCTTCTGAAAACATATGTACATTATTTTGAGTGTGGAGCTAATGAAGAGAAAAATATAGGAGATTGATAAAGTTAATTTGGTTCCATTAATAGTGAGGCAAGAACTGTGGTTGACAGTAAGAGAGGATTTTGTTGCAAAAGCAGAGATTGGAAATTATTTTGAAGAGAATTCTGAAATATTGGATAGGAATTTGAGTTTGGTAATATATAGAAGTTGAAAGGAACAATTTGAGGATATTAGTATAAGCATATTTTCTGGCAAAGTAATTGTCAGAAGAATATATCATTGTCGTCTTAAAGACTCTTTAAGTTTGTGACAGTGACTCATTATCATATTAAAGACTCATCAATTCCCTAACATTGACGACTCATTAGTATCTATCACTACTGTTTACCTTGTTTATATTATCATAAAGAGAACGATCATCTATTATTTCACACCACCCATCACCAAATTCCCTTCGTAATACCAAAATAAAAGGCTATTTTTTCCTAAAATAATTATTACTATAAAGTCTTCATAATAAGGAAAGAAAAACAAATTAGAAAAATAATTTTAAATTAAAGACAAATTATAATATTTTGTTTCACATTTATTCTTCAAGTTCATTTTTCACTTTTTAGTTATTGTTTAGACCTTCATAACATAAAATATATTTCTAGATCTTACAACATCTTATATTGGCAAATGAGAAATGTAAAATATTCTAGAATCTTATGTTCCCCAATATTAGTAATGAAAAACAATTTTTTTAACTAAATTTTTTCTTTGATTCTTTAGTTTTTATGCCGCTATCATGTCTAAAATCTTGACATTGGTGAAAGACAAAACATTTTACATTAGACTTATATTATTCACACAGTATATTTATATAACATTTTAGTAATATTAATACATACTTATATATATATAAGAATAATAAAGTAAACTCATGACATGAATATAGACATGCATAAATGCTCTTTGTGCGTGCACATGATCTTGTCTTCCAATCTATCATGTTTGGGAACATTTCAAGTACCAGCTACTCCATTCTAGACCTAAAACAAAAACTAACATCCATGCAATACAATTTAATATTATACAAATCAAAAATTTGATGAATACAAGGAATCAATGATGGTGGAGAAGGAAAAAGGACAAGTTGAAAAGTGGAAAATGAAAAATATATAACTACAACGGACAAACAACTTATTACGCAACCACACAACGATTAAAGAAACAAGAAGGTCTTGGAACATAATTTAGAGTGATTATCGTTTCTGTTCATAATTTATACTTAGACATTAGACATCTCACTGCTTTGTTTGAAATAATATTATATATAACAAACCATAATAATAATAATAATAATGATGATGATGATGCACAATTTAACTATATTTTAACATCCTGCTCTCTCCATCTGTGTCTGCAGTTACTAAGTCAACTGTCACCACTGACGATGCTGGAACAGGTTACGGTAATTACTGCTCTAGCTCCTGTTCTTGCATTTCTCCATGGCTCTTGGTGCTACAAAAACAAACCACATTTTCATTTCATAATGCATCTCTTTCTTTCAATCAACAACATTCATGTCAAACTCTTAATTAATAATGCTGCAAATATGACTTTAATGGAGGGATATTGATTATTATATATCACGAGTAATAATGAGTAGGGTTTCCCTTTTTTGTATAAAAAGTAAGTAAAAGTAAAAGTACATCAAAGAAATTAAGATACTAACCCAGTCCAATGGCTTCCTTCCCTTTCATGATACGTAAACGCTTGCATGATTCAACAAACATCCTGGTTCATATAAACAAATAAATCCATGTTATTTACTAATTAAATTATACAATAATTGAGAATTAGGAAGTAAATATGGAGACAGTTGAAAAAATTTTCTGTTGGAAAAAAATGACTTCTCATATGTATATTTTAATGAGAAATTTGTGCACTATTAATCCGTATAGCATAATAAGAGGAATGCTTATTCTGATGCACATGGACATGATTAAAAAAAAAGGAGACGATCACACATTATTTCCTTAAAACATGCACATTTTTTTACGCAAAGTTTATTGGATAGGGACTTGTTTGAAATAACAATGTGATGTGCATATGAAGTTCCTGTCTTCTTTTTGTGGCTTTATAATTAATTAATTTATTTAAAGTACTAGAAGGTGAAATTACTAAAAATAATTTGGGTTGATGAAGTGGAAGATAACTTACTCCCATGGAACATCACCGACAAGCATCCAGTCACCATCCCTGTCTTCATAGGTTGGGACACAGTCGGAGCTGTTCAAAAGATCCATCAACTTGCTCTCATTCATGAAATCCTTAAAGCCTTGGGATTCACAATTCCCTTCAATATATCAACACCATACCATTCAATCTTATGTTCACATGCATGGATTATTAAATTTAAGATCCATATGTTTTCTTGCTTCAATATAATATGAAAAAATAACATAAATAATAATTATCTGAGTGTCTGTTTATGAAGAAAGAAATGAATTGACCATAGTTACCAATGGTGAAGGAGCTAAACATTTTTCCCAAGGCATCAGAGAGTTCTGGGTAACTCTTGTACATCTTCAAGTCCACTTTCCGGAGATAAGGTGCTCCATCCATGCTAACTTTCACAAAGCTTGCATTAGGGCTGTTCTTCTCACTTTCCTCTCCCATGTTCTTTTGTGCTGCAAACATGTTCTTCCTGAATGACCTCACTGGTGGCCATCCCACAACTTGCTCCCTGTAATATATATATATATTCATCAACTTTCCTTCCATATTTCCCATCAAAATCATAAACCATTTGAGGTCTTGTACATGTAGATCCAATTTCATATTCTGTCTTACAGTGAACTTTTTAGTCTCTGGGATCAATTTCTCCTTTATTTCTTATGATCTATCTACTCTTTTTACTTCCTTCTCTAAATTTTATTACAAACAATGATATATATATATCCTTAAACTTATGTGTTTTAACTCCATGAAAGATAGTGAAAAAGTTACAGATAGAAAATTGGAAGGAACAAGTCTTCCAGTTTTACACATGCATATACAAGAGGAATCAAAGGCAGTAAGAAAATAAAATATATATGATGTAAAGCAGTAGTAGTTACTTAGCAGGAGGTTTGGCGGGGTCGGGAAGCAAAAGGGTTTTCTCCTTAGGCGAAGTGTTTGGCTTATTACGTGGATCTGTTCCATCAGCAGAAGAAAGTTCCTTTGGGGAGAGGTTAAGCTTCAAATCAACGGTGGTTGTTTCAGTCTGAGTTTCAGAGAAGCCTCTCTTCCTCACTCCTTCTGCTGCTACTGCTGCTTCGGTTGCTGTGCCTCCATTTCCAGGTAGTCCAAGTCCAAGTCCCAGCCTGAGTTCAGTTTCCTCAAACACCATCTTCTCCTTCATGAGACCAGCTTCCATCGATTGTTCTTTTCTTCTTCCACTTTATCACTCTTTCTCTCTCTAAGCATTCAGGGATTTCGCTCTTTTCTGCAATAATAATAACAGTAGTGGGGTGAGGTATATTATAGGGGCAGCCACGTTAATTCGTTAACAGTTTGGGTGAGGTCGGCATTAATACAACAAGGGATGGGGTGCTTTGTCATTTTAACAACTTCATGGAGCAATGGGTTTCTGCCACGTGGAGGAATGTGCGACCGAGACCTTTACAACCTTGTTGGGATAGGCAACGACAACGTCATGTTATCTTCCTATGATTGTTGAGTGGAAGAAGTGGAAGTGGATGCCCACTTCTTCTTGCTTACCTCCTTTTACATTTTTCTTTTTCTTTATTTCTTTATTTCTTTATTTTTCATTATCATCCCTAGGGTTTTCTCATTTCACCAAAAGGTGGTAAATTTACTATTTACTATTTTCTTCTTCCGTGTATCGTTCCAGATAGTTCATTGCTATGTGTACTGCACTGATGCAGATGTGGTATTTACTACCTATCAGCATCGTGTTTAACTTTTTCTCGGCTAACTTCTACTGCATGCACGCACTCACAGCTCAAAAATTAATAACGACATGTGAGTTAGCAACTGTAAATGTTTTTTCTTCTTTCAGGAAAACAAATATAGAAAGGACTTTATGTGTCTTTCGTATTGTTGACAAATGTTTAGGATTAAATGTGCATTGCATTATGGTATTCTTCATCCAGCAGAGATCGTGGTTGCAGGGTGTGAACTCAGTTATTCATCTTTGGATTTAGCATCATCATCAGTTAGTTGTCGGTCTGCGATCCGTGATGTATAATTTTGGGACCAGTGAATAACAAATCCTAGACTCAAGGACTTCATTTCTGAACTAGATTTCTAATTTTAAAAAGCTGGTTTTCTCTCTCTCTCTCTCTCTCTCTCTCTCTATATATATATATATATATATATATATATATATATATATATATATGATTTCCTTAATATAGAATGTGATTGATCTTTTGTTGTAGTGATTTGCTATAAACTGTGAGAGAAGCAGATGATGCTTTGTATAGTGTAGCCTTTATGATATAAAACAGCTTTTGGACAGTGACGTCATGGGGAAAAGGGATTAGTGGGGAAATTTAAGAGTAAAAGTTTACGTAGAATGTTTTTGTGGTGAAGTTAAAAAGTTTTCTATTGGGATGTGGTTAGTGGTGAAGATGGTTCGGCAACAGAAATTGTGGGATGAAAAGTAGATATAGAAGAAGGACATTACTGTTGTTGTTGTTGTTGTAGCGTGCATAGATGTACTAGATTTGTGGTATATTGATATCTGAGTGTTGCTTTAGAATCGCACGAGAGCACAATTAAGTTGACCTATGCTACCTTTCAACAATGGGGCAAACAACACCGGATCGTGAGAAAATAATGAAGTAAAGATTGTGTCTAAGATTTTCCTAGCCTAGGTAGATAGTTACACCCCGTGTTAGAAGCAACAAATCTTGTTTGGCTATGACTTTGATTTGTGGGATGACTATACAATGCAAATTCAGAGACATCTTCCCAAGGAAATTGATTTAGTAATCGAGTCCATTAACGAAATAACGAAAAAAGAAAAGCACTTTTCAACTGCATTTTTATCACTCCTCGTACAAGTTTGAGTTTCCCTTGTCTCTTTTAAGGTTAATGAAATTACTAGGTAAACTATACCATGTATGATAAAAACCATCTAATTTTATTGGCTTGTTTTGGTAATTTTGTGGTATGTAGAGGAGTTTTTGGGTGTCTTTAATACCTTTTTAAAGTTTTGAATGAGTAATTGAAAATGGGTTTTGTGAAGGTAAAATAATGAAGTGTAGATGTGAAGGAAAAAAAGAGAAGGTAATGAAGAGAATAAGAAAGAAGCATTGAAGGTAGGAAAAATGGTGAAGCAAGGAGGTTATTTCTGTGTTAGCCTTTTGCAGTACCCCTCCTTATGGGGTAATGAGATGAGAGGGAAGGGTGGAGGGAAGTGGGACCCATGGGTAACAGAGGCATGTGGTAAGATTCATTGGGTAGAGGTGGATGAAGTGTGAGGGCCCACAAAAAAGCCCATGTGAGTTTGTTGGCCGTATGTACCCTTAAGGGTCAAACCCTATGCCATGTGCGCCGCTGCAGGGCACCCCACTCACTATCCTCTCTTCTCAATTTCATTTTCTTTTTTTATTTCATCTTCAAACCCTAACATTCTATCTAAAACTCTTTCCACTCATTCAATTCATAATCCATTTTCTCTTTTCTTATCCAAAAATCTTTTATTCAATAATATATATACGTATTATTTTATTTTAATACGACTTTTTTTATCTATCACAAAAATAATTAATAATTATCACGATCATATTCTCAAATTTATTTTAGATGTATTATGACATAATGATTGAATCTCCACCCATTTATGTTCAGGGAAGGTGTATTCAGTAAATCATGAATATAAGTTTTACATTACTGTTTACCATGACTCGACTAAGAGCATGGAATCATACTTTTTTGTGAAACCTTTCTCTGCATTATTTCCATCTCCCTCACTTAAATGTAGTTTGGTATACAATCCTTAGAATGCACTGAGCCTGATGAATTGGAGAGGGAGGTGGAAAGACACAGAAATATATCATGTAACGAAAAATGTTGTGGATGAAAATAATTGTGCAATGATTGTTAATGATTTTAGATATTGATAGCTCATCGGTGTCAATACAAGCCAAAAGGAAAGGTGAGAGAAATGAAAATGGCCTCTTGGAGAGTTTTGTGGAATGCTAAAAATAGAGATAGTAAAAAATATACTTGTTCTTATTTTTATCTTTTATAAAGATAAAGGGTTGTATAAGAATAAATTGAGAACTAAAATGCAAGTGAAACTTATGAAAAAGGAATAAAAAGCTAGAAGATCAAGATATTCTAAAATGTCTTTGCAATAAGGTCTGATTATTCTAAAATGTTTTTCAGATTTAAAAGTTGAAACAAATATGTAAAAAATACAACGGTAGAAAGCTATTCTTTTATGTCATATATGAGTGCTTTAAATATAAATATATGGTGATTTATCAAATTGTAAATTATATAGTGTTTGTATAATCTTATAAGAAGGTTAGGACATCCCAAATATTCTGTTATATTTAATTAGTGTTTGTAGGTGATAAAAATAAAAAAAATGGTGTCTAAAAGAGTAAAAAAAAAATGGAGGTGAGAGTGTTTGATAGGGTGTGAGAATCTAAGAGGTAGCTATGGTGGAGCAGAAAAACCAAAGAACAGAAAGTGATGAAAAAGTTAGATGTAGCAGATATTTGTGGTGGCAGCGAGAGACCTCTCGTGACTTTCCTAAGCGAAGAAACATATACAACAACATCTGCTTATATAGAACTAAGTTGGTTTATTCCAAACGTAAAAACTTTGGTTCCTTTACTTGTTCCGAATGATATCCAACATTGTTGAGCTCCGTGACAAAGTTGAAATTGGGTTCCATGGTTACCAAAATTGTACACACAACGATAAAGGTTGGCTTCTCTTGATTACAACATCCACCGAAAATCTAAATCAGCATGTTACTTAGAATTCCATGGAGTGGTTTTTGTCAATGTTTGAGAAACTATTTGTGTCAGTACTGCACATGCCACTGGTTTGGGTACTAGCTATGTATCCAGGGTCGACTTTAATTTGCTAAACACAACACAGAATATAGGCACTGCAACGAGAAATTAATTGAGTTCTGTTGTATACCAGCTAGCTAGGCTCATTATTTCACATGCATAACTCTCATATTTGGCTATACACTCCTTAGATCCAGCATGTTACATATTCTCTTTCATGAACAAAGTCTTAGTCCTAAACCTTACAATTGTCTCTTTGCTGACTTGTGCGACATCCATGTTTCTTTTTATAAATAAAGGCTAACAAAATTACTTTTTCATTTTCGTATAAGAGGAGCTTTGTTCCACATGTTTTGTCTCTCACTCTTTGTTTCTCTTATTCATAAGAAAACCAAAAGGAACAAAACAAGACTAAGCCTTGTGTTGAAATCAACTTTATGCTGGGAGGTGGGTGCACAATAACTTCCAACCAGAATAACTTCTCCTCTTTCTTAGCCATAAATGTCTTTTAACTTGAGATTCTTTTTAACCATACACCCAAATGCACACACATTACAATTTCAGTACTCATCAAATACAAGACGTGCAAATTTCCAGAGCTTGCTCCATAAGTAAACCAGAAGAAATACAACTTCGATTCTCTTGTAGTTTTAGCTTCTTACCAAATATCTACTCACAGCCGACATTTTTGTTTTTTGGTATAAAACGACAAAAGCAAGATTTTAAACATTATATATGTTTAAGATACCCTCAACATATGGCACAGCGCAAAAAGATTGGTACGAATCTAAGTAGCTTTCACTTTGGATAAAGATGAATAAAATGACCAATATATAAATAAAAGGAGTTATAAATCTATTAAATTGAAATTTTGGATCGAAAGAAATATAATGTTTCTTACGTAAACTTGTTCTTGCCTAATCTCCCTCATTACTCTCATGAAAATACCTAATAGTAATATATCAGGACCAATAATTAAGTTAAGGGTTCAAAATGCTGAAAAAGTTTGATATATATCTTTGATCTTTGGTAGAAATAGATAACTTTGATGAGGTTCATGGTGTTTTTTTCACTCAAGCGTCTTTGATCGCCAATGACATCACAGGGATTATTTATGATTAATTGACGTGTGAAAATGTTTATCCATTCAAATTATAATTGAGTATAACATTTAATGACATTATTTCCATTTATAATTTTTATAATCTATTTTATTTCATTATTTATTTTATTATGAATATTTATTTTATCAAAGAAATTAATATTTCGGTTAGAATATGTTGGCAGTGTAAAATTCTTTTACGTTTTCAAATGGCTAGGAATATAGTGCATTTAATGTTGGATAAATTTGGTGACATCACAAAACAAGTAAATTTCTTTATGTTTGAATAATCATTATTAAACTGAGGCCCAAAGTGACGTGCACTGTGATGAAGCCCAATATTGGGCGGCCCATGGAGAGATTAAAGCCATCAGATGAATGGCTAATGTAGACGTGGCCAGCGCTTCTTCACAAGTCAG